GTGTATAACTGTTATGTTTGGGGAGAAAATAAACATATATTTTATTTTATTTTTTTATAGACAACAGATTCACGTTAGAATTTTCACTACGTTGCCGCTCTGACCACGTAATGTAATAATAGTACGAGCAAGTGATGGGTAACCCTGCCACTTCACGCACACATTTGCGCGTGTGCAAATAGCGCCTTGCTGTATGTAGTAGTAGTAGTAGGTAAATAATTTTCGACCGTTGTATGGAGTGTCCGGGGTGTGATATAGTCCTTTGATATGTCTAAGTACAATGGGTTAAATAACTTTACACCTATGTAATATCCAAGCAGTTATAAATGAAACATGTGTGACCTGGCAGGTGCTCGTTTCGGGTTCGAAGATGGCGTGTGCACCGCACAGCACTTGACGAAGGCGCCCATGGCCACGATGAGGGCCACGCCGCCCACCAGCACCGCCCACCACTTCTCGGTGACCCACGCTTGCACCGACTGCAGCGTCGCGCGGTTCAGCAGCAGGTTCTTCAGACGCACCAGCGGACCTTCCGCGTCCACTGCGCGGCACTTCAGGAATACGTCACAGTAGCCCTAGAAGAGTGGTTTATTTTATTTGTGAGTCAGAAAGGTTCGTAATATTTGTAACCGTTAACGCGAATAACAGTTACATATCAGATACTCATGTTCATGGAATATATCGATAACAGGATTTGATTATAACGGAGTGTGTGACGAAATTGCATGAAATAATTCCGCCGTTTCTTTTCCATCATCGAGGGACTAAACGTAAACTAGGCTTCCACCCCTATGTTGTGGATATACCCAAAATTCGCACGAAACGGTACGCTTTCACATTATATAAGTGTGTATGTTCCATCGTCAACATCATCGTCACTTTTCATTATAGTCAGTCTTTTTTGAAGACGGAGTAAAACGATGTTTGCAGAGTTGCCAGTTTTCATAAAATTTTAAATAGTCATGTATTTATTCTCTTATTGTTATTAGTCTGAATTGTAAATGTTACGACGTTCTAATGATTACTAATTGCGTCATTGCCTTCTTCATTCTTATTTTGACAGTTGGCCTACTGTACTTCGTTTCAATCCATTTTGAACAAAAAGTAAACAAACAAGTCACTGACCTGACCATAGACGGTTTAGTGATGGCCAATTGTAACGCCAACTACTCGATTAATTAATTAAATGAATCGATTTGTTCAATTGAGTCATACTAGCGGTTTTCCTTACATAACCTATATAAGCATATTTCAAATTTCAATTTAAATCCTCCTTCAAATCCTTACACTTCTATACTCGTTCGATTGCGATTGAAATGTTCGATTTAATAATCGATTATTAAACTTTAATTGATTGAACCGAATGTTTTTTTTTATCGAACAGCACTATTGCAACCATAGGCAAGTCATAAAAGTATAGATGAATAATAACCTCACTTTTCGACTACCATTTTTCAAATACGATTTTACGATGCTATTCAAATGAATATTATTGGAAAAAGTGATGAGACATCAAGTCGAAATCTTCGAAATATAAGTGAAAGTGTTACTTGTTCGATTTATTGAGTGATTGCTTTAGAATTTTAACCAAACAGGTTTGTTTACTTTTTCTTCAAAATGGATTGGAACAGATTATAGTATCGCATAAATTTTTTATTCATATACATACATTTTAACAACAACAGGCGGATTTGATTATCTATATTGAATTAAACTGAAAAACTTGCTCAAAAATATGTGTGTTTCCTCTTTGTATTTTTAATATACACAGTTAGTAACGTAGTTCTAAATGCAGTGTATGTATGTATGAACTTACAAAACTTGACAATTTAAATGAACCTGTACTCAGCAGTTGGACTAATAACGTACCGGCGATGATTCAATTGAAACAAAGTCGTCTATTTATTGCATAAACGTGACAAAAATTCAGTCGATAGAATATTTATCGACTGCAATCTCACTAGCTGCTTGGCAATGGGCAACACTTTTGCGCAATTTATGAATTGTCATTGTAACCATCTTCAAAAACACAGACTATAGATGAACGCATGGGGTACTTCCACTTACTAAATGTTTGTGATTATATTTAAAATTCTTCTCATGTGAATTCGACTGATTTTGATCGATGTGACGACTTCAAGTGTAATTTGATAACCTACGAAATAAAGATATTTGATTTGTAACATATTATCTGGGTCTTACCTGGAAGTTATCACAAGGCGATCCTGGCCGCAAACTAATTCCACCAGGGGGAAGACCAAACTGCAGCGCGAAATCAGCGGTGCTTTGGCAGGAAGAGGGCTCCGGCCCCGTCTGGCAGGCCAGCTGGCAGAGAGCACGACGGTCCACCACGGCGGTGACGCCGTCGCCGCGCTGCTGCGGTGCGGACGACAGGAAGCACTCCTTCATGTTCCACGCGAGACACATCGAGCCGCGGCATTCTCCGCCCAAGCATAGTTGCGTTCCTATAAAGAGAAAAAATAATTCCAAATAAATATGACATTCAAACATGTCCGTCCCTACCAAAGACCGGTACTTGAAAAGTCTTGTAGGCACTGGTTACCAGCACTATATAATTGGCACACGATCTGTAGTTCCACAAACGCATTGGCGTGTTATTTAATTTTGTTTAGTATGTAACTGTTTGTGATTATCTGATAAATAAATAAATCAATTAAAGTAGTATTGTAGAACACAAAGTAAATGTGGGTTATACCAGTTTTCCGCTGATAGCCTCAAATGTTCCCAAACACGGTTCCTTCCTTACGCATATATACTAATATATACAACAAAAGAGTGACTCACCGTTATTGCATTTGGTTAGATTCGCCATGTGTCTCGGCTCAGGACACTCGGCGGACCGCCCAGAGCAGAAGGAGGCGTGGCTGCACTCAGTGGCCTCACGACACGTCTGGTTGCGGAACTCGGAGACGAATTGGCATGTGCGCGCGTGGCAGCACGGGCCTTGCGATGGACTAGAGGACAGGCAAACCATTTATTACACTCTGCAAAGACACTTAAAATTTGAGATCATTTATGCAGTGATTCAAAAGCATGAGTAGTGATTTGAGATCATTTTATGTAATGATTTGATTGTGTTCTATATATAACGTGGCCATTATCGCTTTCCCACACAGCGGGACGCCTGTAATTTACTGTTGTTTAAAAATAAAAGACATGTTTATAATAGTTACGAAATGTGTAATGATAAAAAAAAGAACTAAAATTAGGAAATGAAACTATTTTTCCGGATTTAAATGGCGTATATTTGTTTTTTTCAAACAAACCAACGTTTCGGGCCCTTTACAGGTCCCATGGTCATCATGGTCTCAGTCACCCTGACCTAAGGTTTTTTTTGTCACCTAAAAAATGTGAATTTATGTCGATTTTGCTTAACAATAAGATATAAAAAAACCGATTAGAGGGGCTTGTAAAACTCGTTTCAATGATCCCATAATTATAAATATCTTTGGGGAAATTATAGGCACATAAGACTTGTCTACTTATGTCTCAGGGTGACGGGCGCAGTGGCAGTGGCCCTCATATCTTTGTGATTTAAATTAAAGCAGTGAATGGTACTGCAACTGTTATGGACAGGCGTGTCACTTACCAACAAGTGGGCGACTTGTTCGTCACGTCACTTGGTCTCAAAAAAAAAGATCCCAAATTTGTTGACAACCCTTCGCTAAAAATGTCGATTACGTTAGTTATGATATGTATGGCAGAGTAGCGGGCCGCCACCCGCAGCCGTCATAATATTGCATCTATATATTAAAATATAAATCGGATATAGAACACTCTAGAAGAACAAAGATTTGCAGTGTTATACCAGAAATTACCACAGTTTGTTACTATGGCTTTACATTAATAAAAAACAAATAGTAATAATACAACGTGTGTTTACACGTTGTTTTCTCTTGGCATCAGTTTTCCGTGTACAATACCTGCACTGAGTGTTAGCTCTTCTAGCGCAGCCCTTGGCCGTGGCGTTCATGTCGCGATCGGTAGGGCTCACTTGCCGTGGGTAGCAGCAAGAATCTCGGCACTCGATCTCGTCATAACCTAATAAATGGCATCATAAAATAACAGTATTAGGGCGCGTTCCCACTATGTTCACGTTTTATTATCGTTGGACAACTGTCGTATCTAAGCTAGATATGTCCTGGACGAATTTTTATCGTTGAACGACTGTCGTGACTAGCTGTTCCCACTAGATCGTGACGACAATTTATCGTTTCACGACAACTATTCAATACAAAGGTAAATCGAACTGTCATGATAATAAAGCAACAAATATTTTGTAATAATATGTATAATTAAATTTGAACAAAACTCAATTCACAACAAATATTTAAACGTAAATAGATTTTGCTCCCGATTTCGGGTTTTAACCCGATTTAAACCCGGTGTTAACAAAGCGCCGCCATAAAACCCGGGCGCTTGCCCATCTCTGCAAACGCTACTGCAAAGCGAGCAGAGGACGCGGGGTACGAGAGGGGAGGGCAGGGAGCAGAATACGTGCGGACAGCGATAAATAAAACGTGACGACAATAGGAGCTGCGACAATCTGTCGTCACGTTTTTATCGTCTGACGATTGTCGTTCTAGCTGTTCCCAATGTGACGACAGTTTGTGGTTGTAACGATAAAAAAATCGTGAACGACTGTTAATCGTGTCGTGCTATATGTGAACAACTTCATTTAAATATACAAGCCACGACAATCTGTCGTCACGATATAGTGGGAACGCGCCCTTAAAGGACAAAAAGTAAGAAAGTTGAAACTGTATGACGACTAGAGTGCAAAAGTATATCCGTGGCTCTAGTGAAAAGGGGTTTAAGTCAAAAAGTCAACTTTACAAGGAAACGCGAAAAACACTATTAATGGCATATATATGTGTGTAATCAGTGTACATCCTCAATTTTATTATGTTATATTTTTTTCTAAAGTGATTGATTCAACACTTTCACTGTTATGCGGAATCAATCAATGCCATTTGAGGTAGTATAATAATAATAATAATAATAATAATAATAATAATAATAATAATCATTTATTCTCTCCCATTCATATACAAATTAAAAACATTCTTGGTAAGCAGATAGCGGGAGACTGGTGCCCAAACTAGGTAGACCCTGTGTCTTGGGACACCAGGCCTCCGACCCAGAACAGTACAATGTATTTTCTTTTTAAATAAATTATATAGTTACGGAAAAAGAATAAAATAAAAAATAAAAATAAAATAAAATGGAGCTGGACTTAATAACAATATTTTGAAATACAGACTAGAATTTATGAAATAGATGTGTGTGTCTGTGTCTGTGTTTAGTATAGACTCTTAAGCCTGGATATAAAGCGGCATAGATGGTATTGTAAGTGTTCCATAGTAGATAAAGTTATATTTACCACAATCACACTCCTCGCCAACTTCAACGATCTTGTTCCCGCAGAACGCGTCAGCCGAGGCGTTGAGGCAATTCCGCTTAGGCCCGTCGCGCACTGCATCGAGAACAGCACTTATGTTGCCCACTGAGCACGCCGAGAACTTGCTGTTGTTCGGCCGGTCGCCAGAAGTTGCCGATGCGAACATTATGTAGTTTCCTTTTTGACCACCAGGACGGCATTCGGACGGGTAATCGTGCTGCAAATAATACGTAAGATTATTGTCTTTATATCAGACAAAGATAATCTGACCCGGTTAATGGTGTTTCAGTACAAAAACCACTTTAGTTTTAAATTATGGTTTTTTTTATGTAAAAAAAATATTAAAAGTCTACCGGGTTAATATATAACAGGGCAATAAAGATTTGATATTAAACATATTTTTAATTGTGTGAAAACCCTAATTAGGTTATTGTGATTGTGGTCTCTATATTTCTCGCAAACAATAGTTCTTTACATATTTTCTGATATTTAATAAACCTCACGTAAGACAATGCTTCATTAGTTAGTAGACTCATCGAGCTGAATTGAGAATTGACTAGTCCTCAGATGATTGCACAATGATTCTTCAATGTTTTCAGCCATTTCATCAATTCGTCTTTGCACAGAATTATTACTCAAAGGATTTTTTCGGATAATATCTGTGGCCGGTTTATGAAGCACAGTAGTTATTACTTCCTTTATTGCTGGCAAAATTAACTCTTCTTCGATGTTGTGTGGTTTGCCTTTTTGAGCAATTAACAAAGAGATATTGTACAAAGCTCGAAGTCCGTCGTCATCTTGCTTAGCAGCCGCCGAAAAGAGTTTTGCTACATTTCGCTGAGCATTATGCTTCTTTTCTAGGTCTTGAAAATATGCTATATACTTACTTGTCTTTCTTATCTGAATGCATTTTATTCAAATGATCTTGCAGTCTTGAAGGCTTCATTGCTTCTTTCGAAAATGTTTTTAGACATAGAAGGCGGAAAGGCGACGATGGGTTTGTGAGATTTTCAATGAATCCGAATTTAATATATTCCGCACAGTATTGCCGTACTGCCGCCGAACTTAAGTACCGCTTATCTATTACGCGCGAATCCGCAAATGAAAATAAAATAAATATTACGTTGTTTATACAGGATTGCATAAGCGGCACGCACCGACAGGAATAAGACAAACATGCATAAACTCGTTTATCTCATTCGACGCTCAATCGTACTCAACAAGTATTCTATGAACCAGCTGATTGATACAGGAATGCACAAATCGGGTTATTTAACAAAAACTTGTTAAAACATGATTGCCCGCGGTCTATTATCTACGAAAATTACCTATCTAGGAATACTAATAACTATTAAAATGCGAAAAAAAATGCTGTGTCTGTTGCCTTTTTATTTGTTTGTTTGTGTCTACTTTCATTTCGAAACGGAGCGACGGATTGACGTGATTTTTTATTTTATTTATTCAATAAAACAGGACAGATATATGAACTACACATGGAGAAATATCGAACTGAGTTAGTTTGAGCAATCTCTTAATTAATATTAGATGATGAGATGATTATGATGTTCACAAGTTGTAGTCGAGAGTCGAGAGCTCAGTCGGTGTCTAAGGGTCGTATTCTAGAACTCTACTCAATGCTCAAGTTAGGATTTGAGTATGGTTTAAAGCACTCGAAATCATACTCAAGTCCCTGCCATTAGGGTCGTACTTCCAGTACTTGTGTTTCCATTGCAATCCTGACTTGAGCATTGAGTAGAGTTCTAGAATACGACCCTACGAGTCGTATTCTAGAACTCTACTCCATGCTCAATTCAGAACTTGAGTATGATTTATAGCACTAGAAATCATACTCAAATCCTTGCCTTTAGGGTCGTATTTCCAGTGCTTGAAATCATACTCAAATCCTGACTTGTGTATTGCAGTGCGCACTGAAAATCATACTCAAGTCCTTGCCATTAGGGTCGTATTTCCAGTGCTCAAGTAAATCATACTCAAGTCTGCTCAAATCCTGACTTGAGCATTGAGTAGAGTTCTAGAATACGGCCCTTAGAGTCTTCCTAGATGAAATTACGATTCTCCCCCTAAGCCTCTTCACGACGCCCCCATTTTTTTTTCTGGGTCCCTTTAGGCCTGTAGCGCCCACACGGGGGCATTATCGCCCACTTTGGGAAAGGCTGTTTCAAACAGAACGAAAGTGGACATAAGTGTACAAATTTTAAGCGTTAAGAATAACGTGAATAACAAAAAAATTTAGATGTACATTTCAATGTTATTTCTAAATTTCATTGTTGAACATGTCAGCCCTATTACAAAAACAATACAACAGAATCCAAACACACAAGATACTATTTAACGAAACATTATTTTAATGTTAATTGATTAAATAGTACGTAGTTTGAAAAAATAATTGACCCTCATTATTGGTAGAGTGTATGAAACCCAAGGTCTAGGTAACACGAGTACGCCCAGAAATGGCAATCAAAGAGTGTAAACAATGAATTTGTAATGCCACAGGTTCAATTAAAGATTATTGTGCGTTGTTACAGCCTAATAACGATGGTAAATGCATGTAGGTCACGGTCAATAAAACGATCAAGTTTCACGACATCGCTTTCGAATAGTTTTTGTACAACCAGTTATTCTGGTTTTTGGTTTGGGTGACTTGATTCATGAGGTATTTTAGTCGTGCTGGAGTAAGTTAAGTATAAAATTTAACATTTATTCCTTCCGGAGATCAAGGTCAGATTCTTAGAAGTTGAATACTGAACTACATAATTTACTGAATAGGTCATTTTCAGAGCACGTCGCATTGAGATTACGGCTATGAAGTCTCAATGAAAAGGTAATAATGTAAAGCGCCATAACAGAAGTCCCAAAGTGACTTTTAAGGGAATGCACAATGTGATGGAAGCTAATTACCGGATTACTGGAGCGCTAAAGGATACTACGAAACCTGAATAATTTGATGTAAAAAAAATCCACATACATTCTACATATGAGTCATTTTCGCTTAGTGGCGCTTTAGGCCAGGGTTACCTAACTTTTTTCTAGTCATGGAGGGGTCTCAAAATTTCCAAGAGCCCACGGACCCTTTCCGAAAACATGATGAAGAAGAAAGGCTCACGAATTGTATTGATGCGAATCTCGCTCGCTCGTCATTCGGGTGCAAAAATTCAAAAAGGTCACGCGTCTATACCTATTTAACCACAACATATTGTATTCCAATTTATTTATGTTAGGTAGGCTCGCCATGGGCCCCTAGCGTTCATTACAATTTATTCCCAGTAGTTCCATGTACTCAGTCCTTAGGGGTCCATGGATCACAGGTTAACAAACCCTGCTTTAGTACTAGCCTATGTACAAATCTGTTTTTAACGTCATGTTATTGTGGTAGTTTTACTTTGTGGCAAAAAGGGATTGCAACCCAGTCTCTCCACAGGTTCCAAGTTTCACCAGGTGTATCAGAGCATCAAAAACGACTGTCGAAGATATTAATTACGAATTAATTTTTCAAGTTTTTTTTCTGTTATGCGGATGTAACACCGGTTGCATATTTTTATCTGTCGTGTTTGTACGGACCGCCCGTGGACGTAATGACAAAAAATATATAGAAACCTACCTTAGATGCGGTGTATATGTATGTGGAGCAATACCCACGTGCAAGGTCGCACTTCAAACAATACAAGCTTTACCAAACGTTGCGGAACTCTTATCAGAAGACTTTAATCAGAACCATCCAAACAGATACGTGATATACACTCCTGGACATAGTTCGAGCCATCAAGAATTTTTATTTTTAAAATACAATAATCTCAGTACAGAGTATTAAAAAAACCGACCTCAACATTCATTCAACCCCTAGTCTGCCACCCTTAGAGGTGGAATATTTTGTTAAAATTTAAACGGGATCAAGTCTGAGGTACCCTCTTTCCTTTCCTTTTCTTTAAGAAAAGAACCATCAAAATCGGTTCACAAATTTCCGGAGTGATGTAACAAACATACAAAAAAAAACATACAGTCGAAATGAGAACCTCCTCCTTTTTTGAAGTCGGGTAAAACATTGTCATCATCGAAGTTTTTTTTTATGATACCGAGTGACCAGAAGTACAAGACGCCTGGTGGTATGCGACAAGCCTGCCTATAACAGTTCCTGTGCCACGCAGAGCTTTAAATCACAAAGGTCTAAGTCGAACTGCCAACCCTGAGACATAAGTTGACAAGCCCCATGTGCCTATAACTTCACCAGTATCCTTACCCTTCAAAACCGGAACGCAATAATGCTCATATTACTGTTTGGCGGCAGAAGTAGGTAAGGTGGCAGCTACACTGCTACTAAAAATTTCAACAAACTAGATAGATTTTTGTAGCAAGAGTAAGTGTTGCCGATGTAGTGCTTTGAATTTGTTTGAAGACTCAATGCGTACAGGTGGTGGAATGTTATTCCAGCTGCCGAATATGTGAAACTACCTCTAAATGCTATTAGGTAATGTGTAGTTACCGGGGATCCGAAGTTATGTCCAATCTCATGCGCCAGCGTCAACTGGCTCACTTTGGGCGGTACCCGACTGTTGTAGTTGACGAATGTGATGATGCCCGTGTTCAATGACCTCTTGGTGCTCTGGTACATGCCGCCGATTGTTTCTGTGTAGGTTTTGTACTTTTCGCAGATACCGCCTGACGCGCCGCTTGCACTTGCTACCCAAGCCAATCCTGTAATGTTTACATCAAAATCAAATTAATTTATTATATTAAATTAATTTATTATACACAGGTTATTAAGGCGTTATAAGAATGTATTATTATTCTCATAACTACCGCACAAGACCATAGGGATTAGAAAGAGACTGAAAATCAGCGCTGGGTGGTCTTATCAACATGCCAGCTTAAGTTGAGCCTCTGCCATTTGTTTCAAATTTATTTTATTTCTCTGAAATATATTTAAGAAAATGTTCAACTGAGACAATAAATTATATTATTATTATTATTTCATTTTGAATCACTTATCCGCCTGCATACAAAGGTTTCATTTTTATTATATAGAGATTCATTGCCCTAATTTGTGTATTACAAAAGGATAATGTAGTTCAATAAAATCATAACAATAAAAAACATGGACTTACAATTATATGGACGTCGGGTCCGCGCTAAAAAGTGTCCGTACTTATAGGGCGTTAAAATCGTATACAATTTAAATTCAATGTTTTAGCTTTTTCATATTCCTTTACATGTTGACTTGGGACATTTTTTTCGTGGTTTTTGTATTAGACCCGTCGTCCATTTATTTGTAAGTCAATGATAAAAAATGAAAACTTTGTGTCTAGTATTAAAAAAAAACAAATAAAAGCAATGTTAAATAAAAAAATCTAATATTGTGAAATGTCACACACACAACTGAGGTAATTAAATAGGGTTGTCTTAAATTCTTTTTTTTATGATATCAAGCGACGCGACGCGACAAACCAGTCGCATGTATGGTAGTTAGGAATCGACACGCCTGTTCGGACAGTTGTAGTGGCACTCAGAGCTTTAAGTCACAAAGATCTGAGAAACACTGCCAGTGCGCCCGTCATCCTCAGACTTAAGTTGACAAGTCCCATGCGCCTGTAATTTCACCAGCACCCCTTACTATTCAAAACCTTAATGCAGTAGTGCTCAGGTTACTGCTTGACGGCAGAAATTAATAAAGTGGCAGTACTTCCCTGGACGAACTTTTTCTACACGATTATTGCCTAATTTCAGAAATTCATTGTAGATCTTCGAACCATTACGACTGCACTATTGAAAACTACTAGTTTTGCAGTTGCTCAAAACGGCGTGACCAGAGAATGTCGAATACTTTTTAAGTTCAAAAACATTTTTTGAGACATAAGAGTCGGTAGTGCTCAACACCCAGTAGTACAAACACACCTTTAGCCTTAATTTTTTTATTTTTAGGGTTCACTGAAAACCAGCGTCACAGCCTTTTCTCGGCTGTGATATTAGCTGAGTGGATCCTTTTGCAAACGCCGCAGCCGCACACATGACATTAATTCAAATTGTGTTAAGTATTTAAAATTTGATATGTTTGCTTCATTGCTTTTTATTATTTTATTTTATTTTATGTTTTGCTTTGTCCTTTTTTATTCTTTCTTTATGTGTATATTTGTGTTGTGGCGTTGTAATAAATGGATTCTATCCTATTCAATTTACATTGCTGCGGAACGGAATGGAAGTGAATGTTTGAAACGAAATTGTACAGAGTATAATGTGAATCGTGTAACACACAAACCGAGTTCCTGAGACTACGCGAGAATTTTTCGATAAGCGCGTGACCTATTCGTGACATAAAGTCCATAATGTTATGATCGAGCCTAAGTTGAACGATCCATATAGTTCGGTTGCTATAAAGAAGATGTAGAACAGGTATCTTAATAAAATTAACTCCACATAGCTAATTAAAAAATAAAACAAATGTTTTGAGGCATTGCGTTATGTAATTTGATCATAAATTTATACTAATTATATTAATGATATTTTACATAATTTTTTTCAAAGGTTCTTTAAACCTCAACTGTCAAACCTCATAATTAGATATAAGTAATAATTTTACTTATAATAGCAAATTATGCAGTCTCAAGTATGGCATTGATGAAATAAATTACACTATTTTTAAACAATACTTTAAGATTTAATCAAAGGTTCACACATAACACATAAACAATTACATGTAAAGGTTGTAGACCTCAGCATTGTTTGTACAGTACTATCAGCAAAGTGGACGACTTCCCAATACCAAAACAGTTTTGTTTGCTCGTTATTTTGTTGATCCGTTTTTTATGAAAACCTTTTGTTTGGAATTAAAATATGATAGCCCTTAAACGCCATTGGCTGACAAGAACAAGCAAACTACTGTTGGTCGCAACTGATCACTGTTATTCGTAAGCAAAAAATCCTTTAGGTGGCAAGGCGTCAACTTTCCTGATCGTAATTATTCTCATTTTAATAATGGACTTAATAATAAACACAAAATAAATTAACACAACCCCTTGCATAGGCTTATTATTCCCATCCAATCCTCTAAAAACAACCCCTGGGGGATTCGTTTTATTTCAAATTATTTTCTGTTCCCATCGGATCCCCAATACAGGGGATCTAAAATAAATATTAATATTTTATTCCCACCTGATACTCTGGTACTTACAAGTTTATATTTCTAAAACCAATCGAGTATTATTTTTAGGTTAAAACTGTTATTGTCTAATGAATACTTGAACACGTCGCCGATAAACAGTTGCCTCTTAACTTCTTGATCAACTCGTAACGAACATTGACCTACCAATAGGTCAATTCGTAACAAAATATTTTTTTTTAATACGGCTGTAAATGCAAACTTGATATTTGGAAGGAAGACTACTCGTATTCACGCCCAATGATTCAGAGAAAACTCGATGGCTTTGGTGGTTAGCACTGTGGGCACCAGGTGAGGAGATCGTGGTTTCTACTCAAGGAAAGATCAATTCGGACAACGAACCATTCCAAATCTGTTCTCGTCTGAGTAATTGGGTAAAGTTCCCATAGTTAATTTCGTCGATCTGGTGCTCATAGCACAGAGATTGCCTAGTTTGAGACCAGTGCCTCAACCATGAGATTACAGTGACAGTTATCGCTAGCGATCGCGTAAAATGTTTTTATACAAAATATTGTTCTTTCTTGTGACCGCTAGGGGCGCTGTATAACTTACCATACAAAATTGTGAAGTAATTTCCGCGGTCGCTAGTAGCGATGCGTGATTACGAATGATTTCGATATTCGACTCGTTAGTAATTACTAATCCTGTCATTCGAGAGACAAATTAGTAACCTACTAATTTTCGTATTCCAATGATCTAAATGATCATTCATAACTAATCCGTAGATTCCATAGAGCACAACGATACTCGTGATCACCTGGCCCTCCCATACATACGGTAAAAACCAGTAGCGAGGCGTGAAAATTGTCTTTAGTACAGCTGGAGCAAAACAAAGAACTTGCCTTAAGAAACTTATTAGTACACAAGCTACTAGCACACCTTATTTCACTGGTTAATTATTCTACACGTAAAATGAATCACAAAATGTAGTAAATTACTTTAAAATATTTGATGATACGTGGACAATTTTAGGCTAGCTGGTGGGAATCAAGTTATATGGACGGAGTGGTAAATACTGTAAATGTAATGGGGACAGGGATATTTTGATATGGACATGGTGAATGATATGGTGGAGTTCCGAGTAGCTCCGACATAATAATCATTCGACTTGTGCACCCGACCGAATGGCAGGGGCATTCGACTCGAGTCGAATGATTGTGCTTGGGCTCGACTTATGCGAATGATGTGTCCATTAGAATGATTAGTATTAGTAACATTCAAAGTGGCCATTGCTAGTCGCCAGCGACAACTGTCACACTAAACTAATGGTAGAGGCACAAGTAACTCGTGTAGTTGTATGGCAGATTCTTATTATTTTTAATGCATAAGTTACACAATGTTATCTCTAGTTACATTTCGTATCAATAACCACCCGTTCACAAAGCACTTATTATTATTATTATTATTATAGGTATTGTTCTCAATAATATCCGTCAGTGCTGTGATATAAGTATTTCTAATTATTTATCTGTCAAGTTGGCCTTGAGTATGATAGGCAAGGTGGTTATTCTGTAATGGGATTCAATAAAACTAATTAATTTCAATACGGGCCAAGGGGTCGCTTGGAAACGGTGTAAGGTTACGACGTTTTTTCAATATGAGTATATATATAGTTTTCTGGTAGTCGTAAAGACCGAGAGAAACCAGAAGAAACTTTTCTCACAAGTTACGCTACGGCTAAAAAGCTATTTAAACCGCAACAAGCACATAGAGAAATTCTTAAGATCGGATGGCTCGCAGAGCGTTCGCCACGTTAGCGTTAGCGACAGATGCTGGTTCGAGTGCAGTTGTTTTGAGGGAATTTATGTTTGTTCGACCTTTGTATCAATAATAATAACAAGGTCTAACATCATGATATTCAATAAACATAAAATATTGCAAAATTATGGTGTAACCCCTTTATGTGCCCAGCACATAAACAATAGCAAGTCGAAGTCCTATTTAGCACAGAGTAATATAGGCAACATAAAGACATAATATAATTGAATTATTCAATGCAAGTTTACTACACGATAACCTACCATTCCGATATATCAACGTTGATAACTTATCATGTATGATGACTTGTAATGTCTAAATAAAGATCTGAGCTCTTCAGAGTTACCCTATCTAAGGTCGATTCGTTTCCCATCCAAATCGCACAGTGAATAAAAAATAATGAATTTACAGAAGTAAAAGTAAATTTTAGAAAAGAAACGACATAGATTCGAAGAAGTAAAATAAAATAGGTTTACCAGCAATATGTATAGGACAAAATTATGTATTTCTTGTGCGTTTTTTTTGTCCCTGTCTGCGTTGCTTTTTTTTAATAATTTGACATCCATCTCTCCTGATGGAAAGTGACGATAAGGTCGACGATGTATCATGCACACCTAAATAATGCTACTGGAATGCCTTTTGTAAATATACCTTCATTGTTACACTACCACTATAGGTACTGAAAATTTAATTTATTTTAGTGACAAACATAACATTAATAAAATTAAACTGGCTTTTCTTGACGTCTTCATAAAGTCACAAATTCAATTAAAGGGCAATGTAT